GATAGTTTGTTTCCCTACCAAACCGCTGAGGGGAGCGTGGTATGAGTAACACTAACATGGTTTTCTGATGCATATTTTTGCATGTTAGCAATGTGTGAAAATCCTTTTCCCTCATGCATCTAAAGCTGTGAAACAATTCACTTCACAGCATCCACACAGGCCACATGTCAAGAGACTACAACAGCACTAATGTCCTCCGCATTGTATATTGAGGCCTCAGTGAGATGTCCTCCGTTATTTAAAGTGACAGAGATGCTGTGGAGGCAGACTCAAATGTAGTAACAGAGACAGTGTCAAATCAATTGTCTGCAACACTGTCTGCCAAAGTGCAATGAGTTATGGAGGAGTCACGACTGACCTCTAAATGAGGTCTACACACTCTAAATAGACTGCTTCACAATAAGAGTATAGGAAAAGCTTTTAGAATATTAATCTCTCTGTGAATGCCAAGACATCCTAATTTTAGGTGGTTTTTTGGTCATCTTAAACTTGAGGGCCAGATGTATGATCCCTTTAGTGCTTCAAGAAATAACCAAAGCCTGTTGTTGGGAATGGATTTAGTGTTATTTTAAAAACGGTTGTGTAGCAAATCCAGAAAGCTGTGAGCAGCAACAATTAGACTTACAATCTAAAATAAAACGTTTCAGTGCTATGTTTTTTCAATCTACCACCTTCACTGAGCAAAACTACCATTGCAATAAAGGCAAACGTCAAAACAGCAAAGCATTTCCTCAGCCAACAGAGAGGAAACAGCTTACACACTTAAAAGTGTCAAATAAAAAACTAGTAACTAAAGCAGTTGACTAGTTTACATTCTGCATTTAGAGATTTAGAGACGATTTGACTCGGACTGGAAGGAAGATAAATTCAAAATACTGTATAATAGAAAAATAACCTGTGGCTTTGTTCCTTGGGTAAGATCCAAAACACTGGATAAAGCACTGATCATGGGCTCATTTTAAGAGACCATGATACCTGACCATAAAAATTAAGAAAACAAGAGAACAGGAATGTATTTTTAAGTGACCTATTACATGTTTTTAGTCACCTTGAAAAAGTGGCTGCTGGTTATAGAGGGCCTAAGTCCCGCCCTTCTACTTCCAACCCATGGGACCTTATTTCGGAAAAAGCGTGTAGTCAATGGCGAGAGAAATTATTTTTTGATCCCGTTTGAATTGTGTCATGAATTACACATATGATGTTTGTCAATTTGAAAGATTATTTTGCAAGTCAAGAAAAAAAAAGTAACACCTATTTTTGTGTGAAACTACATCTCTGGTCTCGTACAATACACATCACCTTGGCACATTTCACCTTCAAACTAGGTGAAAATCATTACACGTCTGGGCATGTTGAGAGCTGCAAATACACAAAAGGGGAGTTAGGCGGTTCTGTAAGGGCCAGCATGCGGACCGGCTGTACAAGGTTTCGGTGAGTGTTAAACGAGTTATGACATCACTTACAAAGATTTGTGGTCTTTCTAGTTGCATATTTTCATTGTCTTATATTTAGACAGTTTTACGACAAACTGTGACTTTCTTGACTTGGAAATTATTTTTTTAAATGTATAAACATCATTATGTGTAATTCATGGCACAATTCAAATGAGATCAAAAAATTATTTCTCTCTCTCTCTAACATACATATTTTTTCCGAAATGTGGTCCCATGGTAGCTATGTTCGTATGACAAAATAATAAAGAACCTTGAACCCTTGGTGGTCCACCGGAAAAGGAGGGAGGGGGGCTCTTTATAGAGTCTTCATTTTAATCGCACAATGAATTAAACTATCTTTAGTCAATGCTCTAGTCTAAACACGGTCTTAAGAGGTAACTCATTGTACAATCTTTGTCTACAGCAGGCGTGCTGTACATAAAGTGCTGTAGATAAAGAACATAAACAGTGAAGTGTATTTTGTCAGTGGAAAGAAGCTCACTTGAACCAGACCACAAGGGTAATTGCAAAACATGACTCATGCACAAAGTCCTGCTATTATTCATCAATGTGGTGCTAAACCATTTCATACATGATTGTTGCTTGGGCAGAAAACAACAAAATAATTACTTTACTTTTTAAGTACAGCTAATTTCACCTTATTTATTTTGGTTCTCTCTTATTTTTGTGTAATTTTTTGAACTTTTAGAATGAAAGTGATGGCAGATGAAGGGTGTATGTGGCGAAGTTGTGACGCCAAGATTGAGTCATCCACATACGTACACCAAGAAATCAAAATAAGTGAGGATCTACATTAGTTGCATTACTAAAATAAAACAAAACAGGTGCTTGATGGAGTGTTCAAACACAGTAATCCTTGTTTAGCCTACTGTAACTCTTTTTATTGGAGTATAAATCTAAATAATCCACTAGCCTTCAAAAAGCTAAATTCTCACTCTAACACCTTTTATAGCCCGGTTAGGTGTTGCCCCTGGCTATACTGCAATCCCACTATAAGCCAGTGGACAGCCTGTGATCTCCCAGCAGGGCCCCCCCCGACTGATCAAACATTCAGATTTAAACGAATGGGTATCCAGGGTGTTTTTGAGGTGATTAGGAACAACCTATACATAAGGACCTTGGGCAATAACAGAATCAATATAGTTTCAGCACAGCTTCAAATATATTTTCTGAATCTGTTTTGATTTGACAGAGGTACTGTTACCTCAAACTGAAAAAATAAATTGTCTTTTGAGTTCACAGGCTTTTTTCTCCGAGGGTTTTTCTCTACATCCACCGGTTTCTTCCTGCAGTCAAAAGGCATGCAGGTAAGAGGAAGAGGAAGCTCAAACAGCCCTGCGGCTCTCTGTTAGCCTGTGAGAGACCGGCATCATGTCCAGAGTTTAGCCTGCCTTTTGCCCGATGCATGCTGGGAAAGAACCACTGCTCCACTGCCATTCTAAACAAGGTAAGTGGTTCAGAAAACGGATGCAATTTTTATTCAATTAACTTATCTACCCTTATCCTGTCTTATTTCGTTTTTTCAATGTTTAATATCACAAGACTGTTTCATCTGATTTTCAAGCACTTCAACCTCAATGTTTTTAAAGTGCTGTACAAATAAATTGAATTGGTTTTAGTATAAATTAAATGATCTGAAAGCCTAAGCAATTTAATGTCACAAGAGCAGCAACAACAAAATCATCATCAATATCCAAGTTTTCCTTAGCATGGAAAAGGTGTGTGGGAATAAAACACAAGCTTTCGCAAATGCAGTTTTTGTTAGGAGTCAATGGCCATCTGACTATAATAACTATTTGGCTATTAGGCTATATATGATTGATATTTTCTGCGGTTCACATTCACATTTCCCCACAATTTAAAATCAATTGTCATTACACTGCGAAGCACAGAGAGAAAGATAAATAATATTTAACAGCGCAGAGCTGTCCTCTTTGAGATCTGTCCATCACAAAACACCATCTGCATAACTAATGATGGGCCTCACGTTGCCCTTGGAGATGTGGATGGCATTTATTTTTTATGGGAAAAGACTCATATGTTCACATTTACAGGTCATCTCTAATAAGGAATGACATTTTCTTTGACAATGATGGAAGATGAACAAAATACTTGTTTTGTGGGGGAAAAGGGTTGAAGTGACCAGGGGAGCTTTCTTCTAATAATGTGCTCACTCTTTAACCTCAGCTTTCACAGCATTAGTCAAATGACCTAGCCATCCGGATGACATTGTCTGGTACATAGGTTCTTTAAAGCCACTCGTGTTTTATCCTCTTACTGACTGTTCGTTTGTGACTCATGCTGACCTCCATTTGTGTATATTTGTCCAAACCATGACATTTGCTTGTCACTTAGTGAGTACGGTTGGGCCATGTTACTCATTGGCAAACATACACATGTACAATAAATATATACGCTGCAGCAGTATGAGTAAATCCAGTATGAAAGAGTTTGCCACATTTGATAAAGGAAGTCATGTACAAGGGAAAAATGCTCTGATATCACTTCCATATTACGATACCTGAATTTAAATAACATAAAAAACATTGCAATACCAGTGATTTAAAAACACTACTGTATACACCATATTATATCTGTTACCTAAAAAGGTTGGGTTTTAAGTCAGGATTCCGACTTTAGTGTCAGCACTCCAAAAATAAATGAACTTTTGGTCAGATGTAAATATAGCTCACATGTGGCCCTAATCCTCCTCCGTATTATATATATATATATATATATATTCATAAAACTCTGTATTATTATTGTTTTGGTCTATTGTTTTGGTCTGGCTCAGGTTAAACCTTTTGAACTAATATTTATTTTGTACACATAGAAACAGAGAATACATGTTTTTAATAAGCAAAACCCTAATCTGCTATTTGCAGTATCATTCCTATATTTTTAGACAAATAATGAGTATGACAGCTGCAATACTTTGTACTATTCCAAGTTGCTTCCACTTTAGCTTTAACAGAACCCTAAACGTGGAGAAAGCTTCTTTTTTTTTGATAAGCAGCGACAGATAACTCGGCCCATCTCTACTCAGTTCTCAAAAAGTAGTCAGTGGATACAGTAGACCTACTTATGATAAAAAAGCTGACATATTCTTTGAATTCTAGTTATGAAGGCAAGTGAATGTGAATTCCACTGGCTGGCTGGCCATTTCAGCAGCAGATCACAAAGATGAAAGCTGCTTCATATGCTTCAGCAACCTCTGGTGACTACCACAATTACAGAAGTTTTGGCAGAAGGCAGCCAGGAGGGAGCCGTGCGGGGACGTCTTTGTTTGGCTGTGGCCTGTCATATGGGCTTTACTTTGAATCAACCTCTGGTGTAAACCCAAGCTAGCTCCAGAATTATTCATTATTCAGGAGAAACTCTCTGCAAACAAGTGGTAAACAATAGTTAGTAATACAGATGCTCTATTTACTCCATCATTATGTTCTTATTTAGCAAGTAGTTCACTGAGTAATGTACGATTGTTGCACACAGTGAGATGCAGGTTTTTACCAAGAAAAATTAAATATTTATTTGTTTTCATCTTCTTCTTTTTTTAAATGTTCAATACATTTGCAAGTTAATGTCAACATTGAACAGGTTGTGGATATCAGGTGGATGTGACCAGTCCATTCATTACACAACCATCCTAGTTCCCCCCCTCCCTCCCTCCACTCAAGTAAACAACACATCAAAAGCAAAATCAAACGTCTCACGTTATAAAATGAATTAAACACATTGAACACATTCTCACACAAAATCTAAAAATGAAAATTGGCTCCCTGTGGGACAATGCTGGCGACCAGCCAATTTCATGAAACAGTCACTTTGTTTAGTCTTAAATCACTGTTGCGGTTTGTGCCTTATTGCCTTACAATTGGCTGTGGAGAGGATAAGAAAAGAAATGGTTAACACACAATTGTCCTCAGTTGGTGACCGACAAAACCCCTTTTATAAATCACTATAATACATTTAAAGTATGTCAGTCTCAAATGTTCAGACTGAACTGCCGGCTCTTCTTTTCTGCAGTTTTTCACTCAATCTGTTCCCTTTTTGCCTTTACATTTCATTTATGTCTTCAGTAAGTTGTTTTACAAAAGTGGTCATAGAAAATAAATACAAATATTTTCCAGAAGGTAATTTATATTTGACCCCTAATGTCACCTTGTTGCCTATATTTGTGTTGTCATCTGCCACTGCAGTCCATCTTTCTTTCTTCCATGTTGTCCCTCATTCTTTTCATAATGTCCTCCTCCCCTCACGTTTTCTTAAGCACTTCAGCAGAGTTCACTGTTATAGTTACCATAGTGATCATGGTGTTAATAAATAAATAAATAAATACATAAAAACAAATAAATATTTAAATATTTCCTCAAATAAATACATGTTTGTCAGACAGCTTGTCGTGGCATTGTTTTATCCTACCTACATAATGATGAGACTTTGTAACCCTGAAAACAGTTTTTACAGCTTACAAATGAAAGTTTAGATGACAGAAAATCTTCCCTTCGGACTAAATGGCAATTTTGGTGACTGCATATCTCTTTCTTTATTCTATCTCGTATCATCGCCAAAGATTTCCTGCTGAGGTCTCACAAAAAGCAAAGAATGTAAAAAAAAACAAGAGTTCAAAGTTTCACACTGGGATTTGTCTGTCAAGTGATAAAGAGATGGTGCTCGGTCTTTAAGGAACACAGTGCTGGCTCTGATGAGTGCCAGAGGGTGAGAAGAGGAGGCAGAGAAGAAGAAGGAGGAAGAAGGAGTTTAAACGTCTCTCTGCAGAGGAGCTGTGCTAGGACCCTTCCTCCTCAGGGTTTGCTGGAGCATAGTAGCCTGCCAGTTGCCTGAAACGTGGTCCCCAGTCGCTGAGGTAGGAGAAATCCTGCTCTGAGGTGGTGGACATCGTGTGGATGGAGCTTAGTGAGAGCGCCGGTGAACTGTTGCCCTCAAATGCGTATGTCTGGAAGGAGTCATATGGTGGCACCGACAGGTCTGCATCAGCTTGTTCCACCTTCTTCCGGATGTAGCCTTTGAATAGGGAGAAGTCTGCTGCTGCCGCTGCTGCTGCCGCTCCCTCTGCACCCCCACCCACACGGTTAGCCTGTATCCACTGCGGCAGGGAGCGGATGTCTGGGCCAGAGTCACAGCTCTTGGCCTCTGGGAAGTCATACAGGTTCCTCAGGGCGCTCATGTCGTACGCCTGAGTGTCCTGCTCCCCTCCGCCCTCATCGTTGTACTTGATGACGTTATCCCTCATGTCCTCCTCGTCCTCCGCCATCCTCTGGCCCTTCCTGTGGCGTTTCAGGGTCAGGATCAGCAAGACGAGAACTGATGGAGAAGGAGACATAGCAATAAAGAGTAATATTATGATTTAAATTCCACTCACACAGTGAAATATGTACAGGTTAATTGTTAGTTTACAAAGAAAACAATGATATTCTTAATTCATCATCATACAACCCATGTTTTGGCACAGCACAACATAACGGTTACATAGACATTGTCAGATCAATCTGAAAAGTGGGAAGGAATAAAAACCAGGATTGCAATTAAGGGATTTTTTAAAGCATTTTATAAAACATTACAACATGCTTCATATTTCTTGCAGCACAGAATCCAAGAGATATCATGCTGTGTTTAAAGAGCTTGCATGCAAACATCAAATCCCCTCATGTTGCTACTGCTATGAAAAATAACATACAGAAAAACAACACTGAAGAAAACAGTGTGCTAAATGTGTACATGGTGTATGTTGCTTCACATCACACATACAGTGTGTATGAGGGTTTACAGGAGTACTTCTTCATGGAGGTTTTTAACTACTTCCATTGTAACTTTGATTTCACCTGAAAGGGCAAAGGCACAGCAGGGGGAGGATAATATATGATCAAGTTTTACATTCCAAATGCATGAGCATGGATTGTTCTCAATGGTAATTGCCTTGCAAAGAGATATCATTCAAAAAGCCCTAATGAATACCAAACTCTATTTCAATACTCATCCAAATCGAGTGAAACTAAAAGTTTGAAGTTCCATCACTACTTGAAAGCAGAGGCAACCACCTACAAAGAGAAAGAAATGTCTCGTAAAATTAAGTCTGGATTAAAGAAGAGAAAGCAATTGAGATGGATCACATCATAGACTAATGAGACGAGAGGAAAACAAAGGTTGTATGCAGAGATAAATCAATGAGTCTTTAATTTCAGCTTAGTTATTTTAATTAGTGCCTACATTTGTGATTAGACAAGTCTCACTTAGCTCAGACACCCACCCCCTGACTCAATCAGCCCTCCTCGGGGCTGCACCCTTCCCCAATGTAACCACTACCACATTTGTCTTAGACGTGCAGCAACATGAAATGTCATTTTCCGTGATGATAAAATCATATTACAGGCAGTTATGAATTAATTATGCATACTGGAGAGTAATGAGCAACATACTGAACAACTCAATGTAATAGTCTCATAGATGAACCAAAATAAAAGCTTTGTTTGATCAACTTATTGATAAGCAAAGAAAGAAGTGAAAAGAGATTGATATGCGAAAGGAGAAAAATGCTCTAAAAGTATGCAGACGTGAATTCAAAAAGTCAACAAAATTATAACAAAATATAACACAATTTATGAATCCACAGTGGTGGTCTCAGTTCATTAATTTATTTTTCTATAATGAATTACTAATCAAAATAAATCTGACCCTTTCCAGTACGTGTTTTTTTCCTATTCCCCCACTTCACATTATCATCTGAATTAATAAGAGCTATGAGTGGCCTTTTAAGTAATTATCATACATGCTGAGAAAAAAATTGATATTGGCGATAACAATCAGGCTTATTAATAATGCATTTTGGTGGGAAAAAAATGTAGTACTTGTGAGGAAAAAAAGAACATGTTCAAATGTTATCTTAATTATTGAGGTTTGATTGGCAGCAGGATCTGTTTCCTGTGGCCAGACAGACATGGACTGTGAAACTGTGTAGTGGAATTAATCCTTTTTTCTTCCCTTACGCAGGGGAAAAAAGGGATGCCAGTGAAGGGGACATTTAGATAGATCATTAAACAGTGGGCACCATGCATCTTCTGGAACAGATAGCCTGTTACCTAAAACAAATGCCTACAAGCCCACAGAGATAAAAAGACTATCAATTATACCGGGGCCTGTGCTGTCTGGGACAGATTGTTTGATGCTCTGAACCCACCAGAACACCCATCCATACATTGTGAAAATGAGATAAGCCTAAATCGCTTCACAGTCTAACTAGATCAATGTCATGACTTTATGTGCTGTGAAATTTACACATGTTAAAGCACATATATTAGTGTGTGAAAAAAGCCTAGGACATAAGCAGCCTGTGAAAGTGACCTTGTACGTCAGGGTGTGACTATAAAACACACAGTCTGGCTTTCATCTCCTTCTGCTCCTCTTTCTTTCTCCGGAGAAAAGTGAAACCCGACAAAACATGGGTTTCAAACATATAATCTGTACAAATGACTTGTTGCTGCTCCTGGTAATTGTCTTCATTTGGTTTAAGTGGCCTAACAAATAACTTGCGGTGAAAACGCCCCATGTGTTCCTTGCCTGAAGAGCTGTGCCAGCTTAAAGAGCATTGCTGATCTTGAAATGGGGATTTGATGCAGTATCTCCGGATGATAATGTACGCTCTCTTCTAACATTGTTTGCTGGGCTCCATTGGGAGAGCAGTGTCTGTAACCATTGTGTTTATTCTTCTCCTCCATGAATGGGGTGAATTAATTGCCACTGGGTTGAGGAAACAGTCATGGTTTGTGGTAAATTGCGATGCACACTACCATGCATACTAAACCAGCCCTTAGACAATTACTCTAAATTTACACTAACGAGGAGAATAATAGGAGGTAGAAAACTTGATGATGTAAACTCCCTCATATGTGCAGATCACATGCTGTTCAGTAAACAGTATTGAAGCAGTGAGAGCATGTGGCAATTCACTCTGAAGCAAAGTCGATCGGATAACCGCTCTTCTGAAACACACATCTTTACTGATAACATGTGAGTGTCAGTGCCTATTAGGGTACTACGATGCTTAAACTGTATGCTATTGGAAACCTGTTTATTAGATTGGAGATAAACATGCCTCGGGCCATGTTAATACAACATCGTGTACAGAATATACCTAAGTAGGAAGTGTATGCACCTGTGTATGGCTCCCTCCTATATGTAAGCTAGTCCCCATGTGTACAGATGTTGTGATAAGCGTTCCTGACAAGACGGTTAATTTACCCTTGGGCTGCGCTGGTTGCCCCCACCCAGGAGTTCATCACAAGCAGATGGGAGGTAATTGGAATGGATACATGCAGATGCTGCGACGCAGTGAAATGGATTCATCACATCAGGCCTATAAATGAACTGATGGAGGGACTGTTTGTTTGTAAGGTAATTAGGCAGAGATTTGTTTTCATTTTTCTCATCATCCAACAATTGATGTAATAGAGGCGGTCCAGCCTCTGGAGAGAGGGAGTGTTGGCTGGCTGGTTAGGTAGACGCTGTGTGTGGGGAGGAAGAATGTGTGTGTGTCTCTGTGTGTGTGTAATAGCACATCGAGAGAACGCATTGCATTGCAGTTAATATGTGAGGAGGGATTTGTCTAAGCATGTGAATGTGTGCAAGGCATGCATGAGCACACCCACTGTTTGCACAGAAGTGTGTGTGCTAGTGTGTGCACAATTTAAGGTAAAGCAGAAGCAGAAAGGTGTTGTGAAATGTGCAATCAATAAGATTGCTGACTGTTATTCACACCACAGTAGTTGTGAAAACACTGCTCATCCCCCTGATCACAGGCCCTGCAGCCCTGAGTCCGTAGTGGACAGATGATGACTGGCAGAAGCCAGGTACTCTGATGCAGCTTGTCCTTCAGTGCTTTGATGAGGCGTGTTCAGTCCATTTTGTACCAATCAGTATCAGTCACTCAAAGTGGAAGGGACTGTGCCATTGACAATATTTGAACCATCGTTGCATCATTTCATGAGTCGTGTCTAAATACCACGAAACATGATATCATTAACTAATAGTAAAGGCATTACAGCTTATCGCACTCTGCCAAATGTATGTTTTAATCAAAATCACTTAGGCTGCAATGAAATACAAAACATGTTTTTGCACCACATCATTTGAATGTTCTGCAGTGTCTAGCTGCCCACAAGTTTAAAGGCCAGAGGATTTGTTTGACTCCCAAAGCCTTTGAGGGCATGTCATCTAGCCCAACACACCAAAAATATCTGCTGCACACTGATTTTTATAACCAGCAGAGGTTGCCTCAGATTTATACATAACATTCTTGTTGAGGCTTTTAAAACCATGATGAATAAATGATGCTCGGCTTTTGAAGTTCACTCCAGTTGATGGTTTGGTTAATGGAAATGGAGTTCTAACAACTCTCATTAGAAAAGCTCTTAAAATAAATACATAGCAATGTTAGTCACAGTTAAAGCTGTCTGGTATCACATCATCCATCATTCACTGCCTGCAAGATGTGAAACGCGTATAGGTGTGAGGTGACAAAACAACGTGACAGCGTTCTAGTTTATTTTTTTCCTGTCACTGAGGAGTGGGATGCTAAGAAGAACAGCGCGGGTAGGGGAACAAGAAGCTAACTCATACATTTTTTAGATTTGACAATACTCAACCTCTGAGAGGGTGAGCGTGTGCATGCATGTGTATGTTAGCATGTGTGTGCATGTGTGAATGTGTGTGTGTCTGTGTATAAACGTCTGGAAAGCCTCATCTATTTAAAGCATGCTGTTCCAGAGGTATACAAGTGCTGATGCAGCTCCTTTGCCTGTTTGCTCTCTCTAACCCCCCTCCACTTTACTCCCTTTTATTCCATCCCCGTCTGTGCTCCAACAGCCAAATTGGCTTGATATCATTCATAAACTCAGGCATCATCTGGGCTCCTATTTAAACAAAGCAATATTTTCAGAAAAGAAGCAATAACATGTCTAACAGGAAAAATGCTCATAGGGACATATCAAAAATGTATCTTGTTTTTATGTCACCCGACTTAGTTTTTCTGCCACTGCATGTGCAATTCCATTCTTGAAATATATATAACTTCCCAAAGTGTTCAATCCATTAGGGCACATGCTAGGTTGCATGATTTTATGAGCAGCAAACATGGAGTCATTTATTTAGGTGCAGCCCTCCATCTTGCTGGTTGAACTTAGGAATGACCCCTAAAGAGCAATACTAATATGCTGTGCTTATCCCTTGCTCTAGTCATCCATCATACACCCATACATGTATCTCCTCATATATCCATACATACATGAGTTCATCCATCTGCTTACCTATGAGGATGAGAATGCAGACCAGAAGGGCTATGAGTGCCCCGGGGCTGAGAGCCGCACTCATCGAATAGGCTGTGGCGTTGCAGGATTGGATGGCTCCCTCTGTGTTGCAAAAGGAAAAATAACATTTAGTGTAAATAATTTAAGTTATCAGGCATATCAGTGGACAAGGATTAGGTGCTGTATTTTTAAAGGTCCCCTATTTTACTGTTTTTCATCAATATATTATAGGTCTCAGATATATACAAATCATGTCTCTGAAGTGTTTGGCTCCAAATACCAAACAGATCACCCATTGTAGCATCCCATAAACCCCTCTGTTTCAGCCCTGTTTCTAAAGTGCTGATTCTCTGTCTGTTACTTTAGATGAAAATAAGGTGCCATTCCCCACGCCCCTCTGAGAGATATTTGGTTAGAAAAAACACAATGGTGCTCTAGGAGGAGATTCAGGTGATAAGGTGGACGGGGGTTACCTTGGTTGGTGATTGGCTAATGGTTACACAAGCCAACAAAACGTTATGACATCACAAAGTGGCCAAAATCTGATCAGCTCATTTTCAGACAGGTTTTTATATAAATGGATCAGGACAAAAAAAGAGGCAATATTTTTTCCTGAAACGTTCAGAATATCTTAACGCTGAGGGGACACATGTTTATGTATAAAAGACAGGAAAAACTGGATTTTGCATAATAGGTGACCTTTAAGAGAAAAAAACAGTTTTTATCAGGCATATCGTTTCACACCACTGAAAACCCTTCTGAGGGACAATAGTGTGCATATTTGTGGCTTTGTGTTACATTGTTTTACAAAATATAAGCTGATAAGAGCTGTTTTCTGACCAAACCAATGGCACGTAGGTGACCTTTTATAGCACTGCTGCTATTGGTGCTGATGAAGGTGACAGTGATGATAATGTTAATAATGATGCAGTGGCTCTCACCTGGGTCGCAGCCGCAGACATGAATGGTCAGGGTGCCTGTGGAGCTGAGGGAGGGAGGCCCGCTGTCTACCACCAGGATAGGCAGGAAGTATACATTCTGCTCATGGCGGTTAAAGCCTGACCGCTGGGTCCGGATTCCAGCTGTGTTGTCTGGGTGGGCGGTGTGTGTGTGTGTGTGTGTGTGTGTGTGTGTGTGTGTGTGTGTGTGTGTGTGTGTGTGTGTGTGTGTGTGTGTGTGTGTGTGTGTGTGTGTGTGTGTGTGTGTGTGTGTGTGTGTGTGTGTGTTGGGGGTAGGGGATAAGAGAAACAAGGAGAATTACACATGAGCAACTTAATATTTGAAAAACAAACTCTGCTCACTGATGCTTGGTTTCATCTGCAGTTGGATTGATCATACTCCATGTAGCGAGAGCTTGAATTTTTTTTTTTTCATTTGAACTCGACACTGTACTTATAGAAGTAAACACATATAACAGCAGGACAGTTGTTTATATAGGCCTATTTATCCATACTATAGTAAAAGGGTCAATATAAAAAAAAGCACTATCCTTGTCTTCTTCTGAATAAATCATTAGCCAAAATGCATGCTTCAAGGACTTTAGACAAAGGGTGGCACGATTATCACGTACATCTCGGGGTAGAATGATTTCACTGGGGAAGACTGCTTTTGTGCTATTAACATTTATCATTTTTTTTTTCTTTATAAAAAACAGGAGAGAAAATGAGTGAGAGAGCCACTGTTTGAAATTAAACTTCACCATTGTGTATATGAGCTTTCTCCCGGAGACATAGATAAATGTAGCACAGAAAACAGGAGGAGGCTTTGACAAATAGACTCAGAAGCTTTGTGAGTAGACTTGCCGATACCAAGCCATCCATCTCCCAGAGCATATATCACCGTTATCCATGTCGCCCTAAAGCTCCTCTGGCAAATGTAGAACAATCTTCATATTACTGTTTATGTGCGCGAACGGTACGCCCATGACTATGTCCTTTTGACTTTTAAACAGCACTCTCCTCATCGGCTGTCTTCTTTAAAAAAACATCTCTAAATACATATAATCTAAGGCATCTTGTGTAGTTTGCCATTAAAACCAATTTTCTAAACCAATTTTTGGAAGTCCAAAGAAACATATGCTTGTAGTGAAGTGAACTGGATAACAAGTCATTTTAACAACACTACAAATGGCAGAGTGATGACCCTAGTGGGAGACGGATATTGTCTAAAAAGGTCAAACCTAAAATAAAAAGAGTCAACAGCCATTCTAGTGGATCTGTGAGTCTGTACTTCGGCACAGTGGTGCTTTGTGCTAAAGTCAAATGTCAGCATGCTAACACCAACAATGCTACCATGCTGATGTCTAGCAGGTGTTATGTTTTCCATGCTCACCATCTAAGTTCAGCATACTGATATTTGCTGATTAGCAATAAACACAAAGTATGGCTGAGGCAGATGAGAATGTCATTAGTGTTTCAGGTGTTTGATTTTAGAACAATTTATTGAAACCAGTGACATTTTGAGCTAATGGTGATGCTGAAAGAAATGTCAGTGGATCACCAAAGTCATTTGCATTCATCCTCCGAGGAAGCTTCACATTTTTACACATTTTAATGGCAATCCATCGAATAACTGTTGAGATATTTTCTTCACTAACAAAGAGTAGGACTGACAAACAGCCCGAAACTGCCATCATGGAGCCACGTCTCTTGCACGACTAAAAGGAAATGCTTGTTTAATGTTAGAGAAAATAGAAATGTTGTTCTTTAGTGGACACGCTTGAAACTGACCTTAAGCTGTCACATTAGATTTACATTTACAGGCAGCAAGCAGAGAGAACAAATACAGCCATACAAGCCGAAGAAATACGCTATAACAGCCTAGAGAAGCCGTTGTATAACGTTAACATTGCCATTAACTCTTTATAAAATTGGCTGACATTAGCATATGTTCTCTGACTGACCAACCCACAGAAAGAAATAAACCCAAAAACGTTCACAATATTGAAAACAGAAGTACAAATAATGTGCTATAAAGTTTCAGTTGATATGGGACTATCTGGGTAACATGATGTCAGTTTGTCACATAACAGCACACTTTTTTTGGTAAAGATGAGGTTTTGCGCTACATACTGCCAGCAACGACCTAAAAGAGTTTAGCAACATGGGGGGAAACCTAAAAAACAACCTTTTCATCATTGTATGTCAAGGCTTGGAGACAGAACGCAATGTGAGGCCATGATGGGGAAAATAAGAAGTGACAGATTGAAAGTGACAGGTTGACAAATGTGTCAATGAAAAGAGACACCACTGTGGAAAAAGAGGGGTGGGAGGATCAAAAGTACGTGCAGGGTTTTGTTTGTCTTCACCAGAATATATACAGGGGTCTGCCTTGGTGTTTGTTTTCAAGAGTACATATATCTTTGGTACACACAAGACAAGTGTGTACACATCCACCCACCCACACCCACAAACACCACACCCACAATATATATACACACACACACACACACACACACACACACACACACACACACACACACACACACACACACACACACACACAAAAACACACACACACCATATATAAAAACAGAGAAAAAAGGACATTGATGGACTGTTGTAGTGTGTTTATATGTATTTATGCATGTGTGCGAATTTATGAGAGAAAAAAGGGCCAGAGGGTCATACCAATTCCTGCCACTCTATGCATATGTACAGTATGTGTGTACTTTAAACAATGTGTGTATCTTTTCACATGGATGTAAGTGGCAGTGCTGCGGGCCTTGCTGCCGTCACGCTGTGACATTTCCCTTGCTAGGGCTGCTCCCCTGACATTTTCCTGGTGTCAGATCAATCTTGATTTAGCCAGATGTCACATTCACTTTGCTACACATCTATAAACGGGGGATTTGCAAGTGCGTTTGCAAAAACACAGACAAGCATGAAAAAACTCATCTTCCTGACAAAGCAGACTCATCACGGGGGAGCACTGTGATTGTAATGTTTTCTTACATTGTGTAGACACGTGTAAATGTTGTGTTTTCACAGAATGCAATTTTCATTATGACACTTGAGAAAATTATGTAAGCTGTTCACATTCTATTCAAGAGGAATCAAGATGCTGTGTTAAACTGTTCAAAAGTGATACTACATTAATACAAAACATAGACCTGCTTAGACCAAAAAGCTATTTGAAAAATGTGTCTGATAATAAGTTGAATGATAAATAAAAAAACGAAACTTTTTTAGCATTTACTTTTAGAAAGCCTCCTGTGATTGTTAAAATCGTTTGGTAGTGTATTCTTTCAGGTGTCTTACTTTAAAACAGCAACCATCTGGCATCTCAATGAACTGTGACATTGTCAAAGTACACTTTTAGAGCTGCAGTCTTTCAAACAAACTCCATTTTTCTTAAAGGTCTACATTTGGAAAATACCCTCAATCATTTTACCAAACTCTCATAATGCCAATCACTCAGGGAAATAGAAATCTATAAGAACGTCAACACAATCTCGAGCACTTGTCAGTCAAGCATTGTCTTCCTTTACCTTTGCACATTTAAATCGTGTGCACAGCCACTAAAACATATAGCAACCAGTCTTACAGATTCTTACTTGTATGTATGGATGTTGACATTCATACCATAAAAATCAGATACCCAAATATGCTTCTTTACCAATAAACCATAAGGTTCTTTGCGCTCTCACCTTTGACATCCCATAAGGTGAAGTGTCGATTGCTGGAGCCTTCAGGGGCCAGGGTAAAGTAGAAGCGATGTCCAGATTGTGGCTCGTCTTTATCTACCACACTGATAGTGTGAATTAGCTAAGAGAAGAGAAGCACAGAAAGAAAAGAAACAGAGGTTAGATCATATCCTCAGATTCATTCAATGGAAACAAAATAATGAATACGAAAAGCACTTTAAACTTTCCATTTCAAATGCCTCTTTTATGAGGCAGGAAGTGAGTCTGAGTAAGTGTACTTGGATGCAACAGACTCTGAAGGCTTCCTGTGAAAGTGCAGTTCAAAGGGGCTACAGTCACAAAGAGATAAACATGTCTTCCTCCAGAAAGTTGACACAGCAACATGAAACAAATGTCTTAATGTTAGAAGTAAAAAACGCTCATAAAATGCATGCATTCAAACAGTAAAAGGAGGATATATTGTGTTGGGCTGGCATATGTTTTTGCTCTAAGAAAGAGCAAAGACTAGGTGCAAATGTGCAGAGAAAGAGAAAGAAAGATCTGCAACTAAGTGAGGGTCTAGTAGTCCTATCTAATGTCATATAATAATAGTGATCCACGTTCAAAGATACAACTCAAGTGTGATCCAATTTTCAGAACTCTGTGTGGATACAATAAGGTGAGATATGATTCACTGTGATCTGAACAGACATCAAACAACCCCTGGAGATCCTTTCACATTAACACAGGCCTCTCAGTGACAATCCCTCCTCCTCCAGGTCTATGAATCTGTAGCAAGCATCAAACCAAAAGCTGATAAATGATAGTTTCACATCCCATCTCTCAGCTCTGTTTCTGCTCTGCTGCCACACATTTCTTATTATTTTGATTCAACTCATCTTTGTTTACTGCACACTCCAACTTAAAGCAAGCCCTTATTGCCTATATTGAGTATTGTCTTTTGGTAAGAGATGAATGGGGGAAACAAAACCAAACAAAGTCTACTCAGCATAAAAGTTGAAGACATTTAGGGAAATTATTTTTCACTAACGACCGTTACGAGAGCTGACATTGCACACCTAGAGCACTGGAGTAATGGTACCTGTAATTGTTGGAGGTATATTTATTTTCGAAGATGCAATGCTTCAAAGAAGTTAGTTTATCTTATGCCATTTATCTTCATTTACCTGCGCTGGTCTGCATGCATGGGCATACTGCTCTCAGAATGAGGTGTGGTTTGGCACTAATGTTTTGACACCCATGAATAATAAAATAACTAAGATGCCGTTTACACGAGGACAAAACGGGTTGTATCTGCTACTTTTCTCTCGCGTATAGCCCGTTCGTTCACACGAGGCCGACACGTTAACGCGGAAACGGACCCCGCAAACGATAATGGGTCCCAAGGTGGATAGATCTGCAAACGGAACGCTCTGGGGGGCAAACGGCTCCGTGTGTACGCCCTATACGATCATTTTCTGATAACGATGAAATAGCCCCGCCTCCCTCTCCCCACCTCTCCTGCTCAGAGATCAGCTGCTGGGCTGTCAGAAGAGGGGGAGGAAAAGAGAGGCTCCGTTTATTATTCTTATATTATTATATAGAGTCGTTATCAATTTGTTTTAAAGCTCAATAAATAACAAAGAAGACCTTTGACCGGCACTTTTCTAATGTTGTCCGGAAGATTTAAACTTTAACGGACATGTTAACGGAAACTCTGCCGCACGGTCCCCTCGTCCCTTGGAAGAGGCGGAGAGGTGGGTGTTTTTCATCTGCTGGTGGACTACCGGAGAGATTTACAGCAGGAGCACACGCCGTCCACTGCGGAGAATAAACAGAAGGGCAACCATGGCAACCATGCTCCGGGGTCTTCTTCGCTGCTTTTGGTGTATTTTGTGGCGGCAGCAGCGCCACTTACAGGCCCGGCATATGTACTACAGCGTTTCCAGCGGGTCGAGCGGTCTCGTGTGAACGGACACGTTAATTGAGCCGAATGCATGTGAACGGAAGACATTTTTGAAAACGAATTCGGTGCGTAAACGCAAACGTACCCGTTTCGTCCTCGTGTAAATGGGGCCTAAATGAAACCCCTTTGCTTCTTGAAACGTACTTTGCACCTAAATTGTGTGCCATTAAACTACACAAAGTGGATTTTGACATGCCCGTAGAGCAGCCATTACACTGAAATTATGTTTTCTATGAATAACCATCCCTCCCAAAAGCAAGAAAAACCATCATATTTTATAAATGAATAGCAATCTGGACAATGGGTATGATTTCAGATTTGTTATATAATTTAGTTCTGTCTCTATCAACTTTTGTAGGAATACAGGCTGTTATTCCTGGTTCCTTTCCATGTGTTTCTGTGTGCTTCTCGAGTGCTCATATTGCAACACGCTAAGGAAGAATCAAGTGATTCACCCTGAAATCATGCCGTAGCATTTTGTAATTACAAAGTAAGCCATATTATCCCAAACAACCTCCCTGAGCTCTGGGTATGACTAAGCCTCTTCTATGTCAGGGATGCAACATCAATGCTGAGGAGCTTTTTATTGTGAAGGTACAATCGAGGCCCCGGAAGTGTGCTCGGCAGTATCTTAGTCACAGTAATGCATGGGCTCGGGATCATCATTCAGAGTTGTGTGCATTGCTACAAATGAATGAGGCTGTCTTGCACAGGCAGGCAACCTGAGCCTTTAAAGTTGCACAATAAAGCAGATGTCTTCATGTGCCAGAAGGGTATGGATTATATCTACAGTATTGCAGTTTGAATAATCAATTTGCAAGTGGATGAGAAATGAGAGACACATGTTTCTGAAAAGGACAAGCGTAAGAGTGAAATGCTTTGGAGAAGATAAATGCAAAGGACAAATATTCATAGGAAAAGAAAATCACAGTGATGAATAGAAAGGGCAGGTTTAACATTTTACAAGTATCCTGCCCCATAAAGAAGAGACTGCTCTTGGAACAGCTGAGTAATGGTTTGATAGATTTCCCTTGATCTTATCTGACACCGTGCGTTTTTTGTAAGATCTCGTAAAGAAATACCAGCAATCGAACACCCTGCTTCAATCATTCTGATAAACGCCTCAAAGTAATAGTCCTTCGGGTTGTTTATCATGTAAGTTGTTGTGGATCCATAACAGTGTGTTTCTGTGAGAGAAAAATAGGTATGGAAGACTCCGCTTATAGTCTTTAACACCATGAACAACTCTGATATTTTTCTACAGAAATAAAAAGGCTGGAGCTAAAACGTTGCAACAAACATTTCAAACATTTCCTTTCTCAGAAAATGTACCTTCCATACACATTTTGTATATTCATGTTTTATTAAATACACATGTTATGATGGAAATCTCCCTGAGCCTGTGTAGCTATAATTTGTGTAGCAATAATTTGTTAAGACCTCTAAATGCAGCTCATTGAAGAATATTCATTGAGTTGATTATAAAGGAATGTATATTAAATATTCAGAGGATATCGCTTTTGTCGAGAGACCTCTCTGTAGAATAAGGCAAATAGGAAAAACTGACTGTGTGTGCAATAGAAGCAATAATATTGATACTAGTAAAATAGTGGGATGAACAAATACAGGAGCTTTGAAAATGTGTTAGACAGAAAGGAAAATAAAGTTATAAAGTCAGTGTCAATACTAAGCTTTTTTCAACTATTGCGTTATTGATAAAGTGACATTGCCATCTGTGCTACTTGTCTGCTGCTTTTTGATAGACAACACAACAGCAGTAAGGTGTATGTAGTACACAGCAGATTTTCGGGATAAAAAGAGGGACACAAGGAAAAAAAGAGTGCAAACTTGTTAAAACTTACAATAAATTAGTGTTTTAAAGGAATAGTTCCAAAATAAAAAAAAGTTTAAAAAAATCGATACTCGATACAATAAATCATAACCACCTGCAAAACTGCTGTCGCTTTGGCTCAGCTTAGCACAAATAATTAAAACATAAACAGTTAGCCTGGCTCTGTTCAACATATTCAAAATGAGCCTAGTAGCCCCTTTAAAGCTCACATATTAACATGCTAATGTTGTTTGTTTGATTCTTAAAAAACAACAATACATTTCTGTAAAGAACTTGTAAATATTAGACTTTAGTTTGTGTACGAATTAGAATTAAATAGAACATGCCATGTTAATTTCTGGTCTCAGCTGCCACCATATAAGAACAGCAGTTCATTTTCTCCCATCCGGATGTACAATGACCAGTGTGTAGTACCACATTCCACTACTTGTTCTGGCTCTAATGATATATTACCAGCAGAATGTACAATGTCACAAGAACTGCCACAATGCTGCGAGACTCATTTAAGACTTAAAAACACATGATATAGTAAGTCTTGTTTCATTATTTCAAATATCACACCACACAACTTCACAGTGATCTATGAAGAATCCCACTGTGTGCGCTGTGTGTCAAAGCAGGCATGGTCTTATCTTCTCATCATTCTTTGGAGCCCTTTCAGCTTTATTTCAGTCTAAAGGTATGGCAATAATGAGCAAAAGAGATGACACTTAAAGCACATTTTATTTTATCAGCTGAGAGATGAATCTACTCATTTCTTTGAAGAAGTAGTGAAGATGCATTAAGTGAGTTGAGATCTGCGTCCTGTGACTGTGCCCTCAGCAGGGGGACTCTCAGGCTGCCTCTCGGGGTGAGTGCAAACTGCTGAGGGAGAGACAGAAAGTGAAGCGAGAGAGGGAAATGCGAGGAGCAGAGCAAGCGTGTGGGAGTTTATCGAGCAGCTAGCGAAGCTCCCTCAAGCACAATCACCTAATTAGATTTCTATCTAGCAGTCCCCTTCCCTGACCCCCTTAAATCTCTTGCATCTCTGGAAAGCTAGGAGGGGAGACTTTCCCAAAAGTGCATCTCATCTGCACTGGAGGTGTCTAAAAGGTCAAGGTTGTGAGAGGGAGGAGGCTTACTCATTTGAAGCAGATATCAACCATTTCAACAGAGGTAATTAATAAATAAATAAACAAACACACGACTACTTAAAATGCGCTGAGAAAGGTTCATCTTGGAAGCCTGGAACACACTATAAGCATCTTAGGTGTGTGTTCAAACACATCCATTATTTGTAGTTGTTAAAAGCGTCCTCATGGTGTACAGTGGAGCATTAAATGTC